CATACATAATTAATTATGTCAGGTGCTTGCCGTACAGTCTCCAGGAGGAGGGGGCGATTTTTTGGTCTTGGTTAGGGATGTTAGGGCATGTGTTTCGTCGAGAGAGAGGCGAAAAAGATTGAAACAAGGAGAAAGGGAGGCTCTGTTCACATTTCTGTCTTTCATGCTTTTTATTACTTACCCTTTACTGAGTTCGTCAAAATTGTTTGGTGGCTGGATCAATTCCGGCAAGAATTTTTTTTGACAGTTTTACTTGACATAAACCATGTTTTCTCTGTCTGAAGTTTGAAATATTCCCCGTCGGAAGCATTGTCAATGCCGCGAAGCTTAGTCGCGGCGGCGAGGCGGAACATGCAAATAACTTCCGTTATGGGAGGCAACTAAAAACTTGGTGATCCGTGCGCTTACAGACGACGCAGATGTGTGATTTGGGGCATCCTTAAGAGTAGCAGTCGTCCTACAAACTTCAGGTATTACAAACGTGACGGCGTTGGTTGCTAGTTTGAGATGCAACGATTTAGAGGATGAACTAGAAGCAGATTTTTCTTCGCGAGCATGCTAGCAGTGCGTTTATTTTTACGAGCAGGAGCAGTGAGCGAGCACTTAGTAGAAAATAAAGATGGCGAGCTGCGAGCACATCGTAATTTTCTGCTAGCCAGAATCTCTCCTTTTGTTAAAAGGAAACGTCATTTTGCGCCAGGTTGTCTTGGGTCTAATAACAAACATGATTGAAAGGGGAACAAAAGCAATCAAAAGCTAGTGTTTACTATAGCAAACTGGTAGCATTATTTTAATTAGCACTTGTCGCTCTTCCTGTTCAGTGGGACGACTGCAGAAGGGTAGCACTTGTAGCAGTTTAATAAGCGCGATAAAAATAATTTGCAATTTGACTCGTTTAAAGGCTGTCAAACCATTCTTTTTCTACTCATTGCACTGAAATAAGGGAACGTGTGAATGGACATCAATGCTCTCTTGTGTTTCCACAGTCCCACGCACTTTATTAATGTGTTCCTGCTTTGTATCTTAATGTTTTGTAGTCCTTTTCTTAGTTTCCAGACATGGCTGCTCAAAACCTAATGGCCTGTTTTTTTTGTTTTTTGTTTTTTCGCTTTTCTTGCACTATTTACCCCGCTGGAGGAATCTATAGCTAGACTCGTCATGGCTTGCAGAAGTGTGTATAAAACCCTTTCTTTGATCCTCAGCTACGCGACCAGTCGTTGCTGATCAAACTCTGTGATGTACATTGAAATCTAATGTAATTTGTTTACGCGATGAAGTGTTTTTAGCATTATTATATTATTTCAGAAAATAAAACCGAAACTTTTAGACCTATCAGAAGCTCTTCTTTCTTTCCTTCTTTCTTTCTTTCTTTCTTTCTTTCTTTCTTTCTTTCTTTCTTTCTTTCTTTCTTTCTTTCTTTCTTACCCTCGGATTTTAGAGCAGAAGAGTTTTCACTCTAAACNTCTTTCTTTCTTTCTTTCTTTCTTTCTTTCTTTCTTTCTTTCTTTCTTTCTTTCTTTCTTTCTTTCTTACCCTCGGATTTTAGAGCAGAAGAGTTTTCACTCTAAACATGAAATCTCTAATTCATTTCTACGCTGCAGAGGACCTAGTGTCATTTCACTTTTAAACTTCTCACTAACCATTTTGCTTTCATTCAAATTAATAATATGCGGTGCAGAGTTGTTTCGTACACGGTTCAAACCAACATAATGCGTGTGCTCCCTTGTGCACGTGGATGCTGGAAAATAAACTGCTCCAGTCAATGTGTCGCCTTGACAACGGTGAATAGTCTTAGAGGCAGCGGGTCTAAGCGGAAATTGTCGCCGAAGAATAATTTGCCCTTGATTCTCTTTATTGACTCGAAATTGCTCTGTTACCCCTAATACTGGTGTGCAATTTCTATTAATGTTAGCATTATACAGAGGTGAATTTTCCCTGTGCTGCTATCTGCCTACTTCAGCATGTGGAAATGACAAACAATTCACTTGGTCTGTCTTTAACAGCTTAGTCCTGATCTTTTATATGGTCTGCATTTGGAGCAACATTGTCAAAGTCTTCACATTCTTAACTATTGATTTATTATTACTAAAACTCGATAGAAACATAGAACGTCGACGTAATGATGGCGCGAGCAAAGAGAATTTACATTTTGATAATCAAAGTTGACAAGTTTTTTTTTCCTTTTTTCGTCGCGGTGTTTTCTAAAAGAAATAGAAAACATGCTCTCCGTGTTTCTATCGAGTTTTAGTATAAATCTACTAGCGTTCATATCACGAATGCAGTTCTCTGATTGGCTACGCTACTCACTATCTATTCTGTGATAGTGAGTAGCGTAGCAGTGTGCCCTTGTTAACAAAATGACGGCCGCTTCTTGGCGTTTTCGAAGTGTCTGTGAAGAGGATTTAGCTTAAGTTTTGAACGACGAGTAGGTTTATACTAGAACAATTAGATTATTCGCTCTCGATTTCTATCGCGCGATAGTTGACGAGGGCTGCGCCTTCGTCAACTATCACGCGATAGAAACTTATGTCTGTTGGAATTTTGCTTAATTAAGTATTTTCGTCGTAAGTTCCTCCAGTTTGAGTGAAGTAAGACCGTGTCGAATTTAGGTATGTTCCGCTTTAAGCTTATATATATCGCTG